TATGTATTCAAAAAAGTCTACATTATCCCCAGCCAATGGCACTTCAGAAGAAGCACAATTCTATTTCAGAACAATTTTTTTAATTTTAAAAATATCCTCTATGTCTGTAACTATGATCATTCATCTATGGCCCTTCTCTAGCTATAATAACAATAAACCACAATAAGGAAATGATCAAACAAAAGGAACATTGTGATAAACAACGTCAACCATAGTCGGCTCTCTAGCATGCTTATAGTCAGCCTGGGTATTGGTTCCAGATCTTGATGTGCAGTGTCATTTTTTTCTTAATGCTTTATGAAAGTATCAGCTTTGTGTTGACTTTCCTATTATAAGGGAAATATATCTGAATCTGCAGTGCAACTTTAGAGAAGTCTCTGGTTGTCTGCTATTTTTGATACAATGACTTTTTTAGGTAGCCATTGTATTGAAAATCATATCCTTCTCCTTTGGGAAATAACACTGAAACAGTTAAACACAGAAGTCACAGGGTGCATACTTCAGGTCCTACCTACCAAAAATGCCACCCAACAGACTCAGGAAGCAGATCACAGCACCACCCCTCTGGAGCAGCATATTCCCAGACATCTGCATTGCTCCCATTCAGTCCATGCTTAAAAGGTCCCCATGGAACCTTGTTTTAAGCTGGCTGGTGAGCCTGTTATGTCTCTCTGTCTCTTTCCCCCTCCCTCTCTCCTTCTCCCTTTCCCTCCCTTCCTCTTCCCTGTGTGTGTGTGTGTGTGTGTGTGTGTGTGTGTGTGTGTGTGTGTAGAGATGTTACCTGGAATCTTTCTTCTTCAGAATAGACATCATTCTGTTCTTTGTTTTAGTGGTTCTTAAGTTTTTTTATGTTATTTGCTACCTAAAGACTTTATGGAGCTTTCTAAATTTAATGAATACCAGTTGGGGAAAAAAGGTTGCTCATTTTAGTGTCTTCTTAGGATACTTCAAAATATATTTCCCACTTATTTTTCTAGTTATATATTATACCACTGCATAATATTTTGCTTGGATGCATGTCTAGAATAATAAATTGCCAATTGTCTCTAGCTAGGAGTTGACATCTTTGTCAATAAACAATCTCTGCAAATATTAGGCTTAATGCTGTAATGTGTTTATCCCTTTATGATATTGTTATGAGCTCATAGATACTTTATACTATAACAAGCATAAAATAAACAATGAAAGCATAAGTGAATATTACTATTTCTGCAGCACATGCTATTACAGCAAATTTGAAGTAATTGATAGTACTAATTGATAGTATTGGTACTAATTGAGGGACCAAGAGAAGCTTCTTAGATGAGAAGTGAAATATCTTCAACCCCCGCCCCCCCCCCCCCCCCCCCAAAAAAAAAAAAAAGCTCAGTAGCCCTTTGAAAAAGCACCTTTGGGATTTTTTATGGTAATTTAAGCCTATCTTTTGGAATATGGAAAAAAATCCCATTTATTTTTAATTATCTCTTTTATGGGCCCTATCATTAACCAGACTGAAGTAGTAGCTTCAATTAGCAGATGCTTGGAAGTGGAGACCAACTATAAAAACCTGTTGTGCTTTATGGCTGTGGTGCCCTATATCTCCTAAATTAGCTTTTTATCTTTGGGTGTAATGAAGGGTGCTGGTCTGCAAACAGTGTTGAAATATGTTCCGCTGTCAGCCCAGTTAGATTTAAATTGAGGGGAGGGAGACACCTTCATTTCAAGCAACAATATATCTTTAAGATATATCTTTAAAAAAAAAACAATATCCGAGACCATACAATTCTTAAAATGGCTAATAACTAAATATCAATTGAAACAATCATAATCAGGAAAACAAGACACCTTCTCAACATAGCAAAAGGAAAATAAACAAAAGGGGAGAGGTACCTGTTGAATATCCTAATGAGGAGTGAAGCCAAGGAATGAAGGTTTTACTCATGTCTGCTGTCTCCGTGAGAAATAATAGTTTAAAATCATTGGTCTGCCTTGCAGGTGGGAAGATTACTTAAATCCTATTGGTTGAGCTGTCCGACAGCTCCCTTTAAAAGAGCATTTAGTTGTACCCATCTATTCAATAAAGAGCTGTAGTCACTTCCCTTTGAGTCTTTCTTCTTCAATCGACCCCAATCTAACAGCACCCTTAAAATCAACAGCACAAATTTTACTATGGATGGGAGAGAATAGACTCAGATTACATCCTAGGAAGACAGAGCTACTGCTATATACTGAAGTTCTCTGTGTTGTCTCTGTATGAGGTTGTATTTCCTGTGAAGGAACCATTACAATCTGCTGGATCAGTAGGGAGACCTTGCTCAGGGGGACCTTTGTCGCACTAAGTTGGGGCATCAAACTGTGTGGAAAGATCTGACTATGGTGGTTGCTCTCTTCACTTGTTTCAATGCGCTCTATATGGAACATCTTTAGAAGACCATCCAGAAGTTTCAGTTGGTACAGAACATGTTGGTCCAGGTGTTTATTGATACTGGCTAGTAGGTTCATGACACACCTATTCTGTGGTCCCTGTACTGGCTTCCTGTTAGCTTGCAGGTGCTCAAGTCCTGGTTTTAACTTCTAAATTTCCTCTGGCTTGTCCCTGATCCCTTTTACTTGTAAGACCACATCTCTCAATTGGAGTTGGTCTGATCATTATGATCTTTCAGGAAAAGCAGCAAGCTGTTTCCCCATTTCTGGAAGGTAAAAAGCTTGAAGCCCAGAGATTACGCTTTCCTATTTCAAAGCTGTCTCTTTGGAATGGCCTCCCAGGGAGGTTCATTTGCTTCAATCTTTCAGAAATAGCTGAACACTGAACTTTTCAGACAGGGATTTGGATGCTGTTGCCATGATCTGTTGTGAAAGCTGTATATATTTTATTTTTAAGTTTTTATGATTATGTTATTGTTCTTCTTTGTGAGGCACTGAGAGTTTATTATGATTGTAGTGAGATATAAATCTGATATAAAGAAGTAACAAAATGTCTTGCAATGCAGAAAGCTTTTAACTGTGCTTGCAAAAAGGTTGGTCATAGATTAGAATTATTTAGAACAATAACAATGACTCAAAATCAGATGGGATAGAACTTGGAAAGATAATAAGATATGGAAAAGAAGTAAAACATTTCGTAGAAAAAATGAATGAAGAAGAGCAAGACGCTTTTTACTCCTTCATTCAAAAGAAGAATAACTTCAACAACTATTCATTCTGTGCTGTCCAACATACTGAACCAATATTCAGAAAATGAATGATGTCTTTAAAATTTGAATATAGTCAGAATGACTAAAATCCTTCATCGGTGAATATATCTAATCTTTAACAAAATGAAGGGGGAAAGGTTGATTTGTCTTTCATTGGATTGACAATTCCCAACTCTCTATTTAACTTTAATAAAGATAATATCTAATGAAATTTCAAGATATGCAAAAAAAAAAAATCTGGGTTGAAGCAATTATTCTTGAAAGGCTTCTTGACTTCTGTGTAACATCAGAATTCTTGCAAGCTGGAATGATTTTATGAATGAGAAGGCATATTAAAAGCTCCGTCCAGATATATTAGTTGTACTTCTTTATAGAAATCACACTGAAACAGTGACACCTTCAGCCATTGATTCTAAGCAAGGGAGAAGAATTCACTATTAGGCTTAGACCACTGTTAGTGACATCTCTGGCTTGTCACTTTTAATATTAATAGCGTTTCAGAGTTCTAATATGACACCCTACTGGAAGTCATGTCTTTGGACAAGATAGAAAGGCTGGATCAGTTGGTTGTAAAAGAGCTCACTGAGCCCTTTTCAGAAACAGATATGTTATTAACCCCCTAGCCAATTATAAGTGGAATTTTGCTGCTGGCTTTCTCAACAGATGAGCATCAGCCTCTGAATGCAATTAATTCACCCCAAATTTAAATCAGTAGTGACTAGAAAAATGTGTGCTGATCTGTAGATGTGTCTCTCCTGTGTAAATTAGAATGTGCATGCATTTTCTTCTCTAAGCAACCCCAAGTAGGATTTTAGCAGTCTGAATACCATGAAGCAGTTGAGTAACCCTGGAGAAAGATACAACTGCTTTAATAGTGTGAAACGAGTCACTCTTGCTACTTAGGGATGGATGTAACTGCATATCTTTTCAGTCATCAATCAAATAGGAATCAGTTTCCAATGCATTTCTTGCAGAGAGTGCTTATGTAGGAGAAAGTTACATACAATTCAAACATCTTGTGCCCCCAATGTATACACTGAAAGTAGAATGCACATATCACTTCTTCTCATGAATTGAAACATATAATAACTTTACTTTGTTGTCAATCATTCTGGAGTTTTTAATATAGGTAATCCCTACCGTCCCTGTCCTATTGTTTCTTTTATTTTTCTTATCTGTACCCATTTCATGTATTCATAACTATGTATATACTTATACCTATTATCTTGTAAGCGATTGACAAATCAAAATAAATAAATAAATAAAAAAACATGATAGCTAGAGATTATGTGGCTTGGACTCCAACACACGAATGCCAATGTATCAGATTCTGCCTTATACCAGTTACTATAATATTTACTATTAAGCCTGATTAACTCTAGTTAAAGTTTATGGTTCTCTAAGATCATCATATTGTTTTAGCATCTAAGCTACAAAACAAAAATCCCTGACAGGCAAGTCTCCCAAGTTGAAAAAACTGAATATATAAATTAAAATTATTACCAATTTCACACTCTTTTATGATGGCCAAATCAATTGCTTTATATGTCTGAATCTAAGTTACAGTTGGTTCATAAATTAAGCTGCCTTTCCTCATGCATAGGATGATAAATAACATTTAATGGATAAATCAATCCAGGCACTTGTAGGGTTGAAAAAAATATATAACTATGTATCTTAAAACAATGTACACTGTGTGACATGGTGTTTGCTGGTTTTTGTTTGTTATTTTACTTATTTAAATAAAATAGCTTTCTTAGTATTAAATAAGATATTCCTGTTCCTTATCATGACACTTTTCAAATAAAACTGTTTCCCCCTACCCAGATAATCTTAATGCCAGCATTATGGGACATCAGGTGATAATATTTGACTTTTCAGCCATAAGAGGTTTATGGGAGATTCGAGTGAAGAAGCACAAAGAAAAACAGAAACAGGAAAAAGAACGAATAGCTCACAGTGCGTTAGAGAAGTAAGGAAATATTTACTATATTGTTATTTCAATGTTATTATTACTGTTTCATTATAAATTAAGCCATTGCACATCACAGCCACCAATAGCTGGCATTTATTTATTTATATTTCTTATATGACTGTTCATCTCAGCATAGTGTTTCTGATAACTAATAGTCTGTATTTAATTGGAATTTTTATTTTGGGAGGATGGGATTCACATAATTGTATTGACCGTTGCTATTTTTGTCTGCTTACACTGTTCCCTGATCAAGCTGTTTCAGAGATGAGTCTAATTTATTCTCTCTGTATTATTAATGGTTTATAACTATTATTGGAATGCTTATAAACAAATGGGTACAATCATGCTGAAATAACGATTTATCATGAAAACATGATCCCAAGCAATAATTACATGAACTCAAAAAGAATGTTGATGGGCTAGAGTGAAGGTACATCTGCAGGATTGAATATGTCATGGCCTTAGACCATTTGAAAAGACCCTTTTGTTGGGCTTCTTGTGGAAGAATATTTAGATATTTATCATGTGTATTTAAATTGGGGAGAATTTCTCTGTCTTGATTTCATTTTGCAGAATGGATTACAACCAATTCACACACCACTCTAATACCAAATGTGGTCTTCAATCAAGAAAGGGTTGCACTCTCCTATCTTAATTCAGGAAAGCACTAAGGAAAACAGCATGATAAAAAAGGGTGAAAGAGTATTTTGTAAATTGAATAACATAATTCTCCATAATAAGGGTTTGGGCTTAAGTGCTCTGCATGGGATATGCATGTGAACTTAAAAAGTACTCATTCAAGTAGCTTTTAAAGAGCTTACAGATCCCGAAGGTATTGTTATAATGGGGCAGGAATTCACTATGTTGTAAAAAACAGTCTTGTTAATGAGGTCTGCAACTCTTAAGATAGTTGCAATGTGCTGAAGAAACCCATTATATTACATGTTTATGACAATTTACATTTAATTGTGTGAGAATTCTCTCTCCCACAAATAAAGTTGCTTTGGAGATAGCTTTAGGCAATGCATAATGCATATCTTATTGGCTGTACTGTGGGCCTGATTATGTTAGAATTGGATATTATGTACAGCAAATCAAGGGTCATCCATAGCATGCCTGAGAACCCAGTATTTTTCCACAGTGGTCCAGAGGGAACCATGAAAAGCAACACAATAAATTCATTTATGATTATGAAATGAAATTTAAAACTTCTTCTGTTAAGAGAATATGTAACTAGTAATTTGTTTGACTTGAAAATGATTCTACCCTAAGGAAATTGTAGTTGTATGTGACCATTGTCTGTTTACCTTAACACTTGTACAATACTTCTAAATTGTTTTCATTAAGAATAATTGAAATCCTTTCCCCCCCTCCTCATTTTTCTTCAGAGAAAATTAGTATTGATTTGTACATAGAACTAGTTCAACACAGAAATCTGTTTCACAACATGCTAAGACATATTATGGCATATTTGGCTATGGATAGTGAGTTATATGTATATAGCTTCCATACTTTGAAAACCTTAGCTTATAGCTTTTCATTGGGGGAAATCAACCAATTTTGATTCATTTAAAACAAACTACACTTTGTGTGAATCAGATCAGCTTGAGCCCAACTTCTAAAAATCTACCATTCAAAAATTTGATAGGGAAGTCCTCTTTTGTTGTTCCATTTCTGCATATGAAGTTCTAGCAGTTGGAGAGAAACCAACTAGGGACTTACTTTAGCTTAGATAGTTTGGAATAAACCAACAACATATTTTCAAAATGGATCATAACCGTCATGAATTATAGTGAAACGAACATCCTTTGCCTTCACTTAAGGATTCATACAGAATCAATAGCGTTTCCAAATACTCATATAAATGAACTGAAGGTTCAGTAATGAACAAAGATAGGGCCAGAATACCCTCTATGCTGATTTTCTACTACTTGGCTGGTACAATTTTTAGATTCTCCCCACTGGAATTATTGTTATCCACTATTATTTAACTTGGAGATATTCTTGCTTACAGAAATGACTTATGAAATGGCAAGCAGTGAATTGGACAGTATTTTTCTTGGCCAGAAGTCTGCATCAGTACTTTTGGTTTGGGATGATGACCTACTAGCCCAAATGGTAACAGTATGCGATCTTAAAATAGGCAGTAACTCAGAGACTTTTTAATGACCAATGGTTGAATAAGTTGATAGATACACAGATGATAGATAGATAAATAAGATAGGTAGTAACCCAGAGGCTTCTGTAGGATCAAAACTATTTTTTGTCTCAAAATAATGAAAGTGTTAATGTGTTGGCATGGTGCAAGCAAGCTTCATCCTTTCATATGTTTATGTTATATCACAATGCATATACTAATGGACTGGATCTCACAGAGTGATGCTGTTTTTGTCATTTGCTTCCTTGATGCCCTTTGAAGTGAAGTTGTCTAAAAGTGTTCTCTTTTTGTATGTGGCATCCAAACTTTTGATCACTTGGGCTGGGCTTGTAATATTTTGTATTTCCCTTGAAGAGTTTAGCAGTCTGTTTAATTTGCAAAGCATCACACTGAAAACAGTTTAAAGCTGGATCAATGTTCTATCCCAGATGGCACTGCAGCATTAACCTTGATTAATTTTTCCTGTTTTTGATTGTGGTCAAGCTGCTATGATAAAAAATGTCTAGAAATGTTACCAATACAGCCAATTTGTTGTTTCTCAATTTTTGCATGGAATTTTAAAAATATGCATAACTGTATTAGCAGTTAGCATGGTCCAAACAAGAGCAAATGAAAGGAAGCTGATTAAAGAAAGCAGTAGAAAATATAAAAATGTAAAATCAATTACACAATAGATGTGAAGCAGCATTTTAAATCATAATGTGATGTATTATTGTCCTGTTTATAGTTTATGTCTGTTTTGAGGCACAACCCTCAAAATTGTCTTACCTAATATGAAAATAATCACACACTAAAAAACAGAACGTTAAGATTTGTGGTTTTCTGTTTTAAGATAAAATTGAAGTGAAATTTGTCATTGCCACCCCTCCCCCCCAAAAGATCCTTGTTTTAAACATTGTTCATAACATATAATTTTGAATATTTATAAATGAATGCCAATTCAGAATTTCATATGTAACAATTATTGGCTCTGATTTTTTTATGTAAACGTATTTAGGGTTAGGGTTATTATTTTTTCCAAAGCAGAAAATGTATATTGTGATGAGACATCCTCCCCCAGTTCAAATTGCAATACAAATTCTTGTACTATGCTTCCATCATCCCATCCTTGGTCAAGGCTGAAGTTTTTCCAGCTGGCTTGCACTTGCCTCCTGGAGTTTAAGAAATTATTGATGTGCTTTGCAGATAAGGTAGGCAGGGCTTCCACCTGCAAAAAACATTTGTTATTATTTTTTAAAATTATGCAGCTAGCTATTTGTATAACAAATAAAATGTCATAAGGAGCTAAGAAAGAGAATGTCCCAAAGTCATCAATGAATCTCCATATCTGACCTGGATTTGGGTTTTCCTGCTCTTAGACTGACAACTTAACCATTACAACATATCGCATCACTTCTTTACAGAGAATATTAATGGTAGGTTTTACTTTAGCACCAAGAATAGATATCTCTTGTCATCTGCCCAGTAGTTACAACTTCCTTTGTTTTGTAATTGGAGATAGAACAGTATTTATTATTGTCTCTCCAGGCTCCATCATCAAGCCTATAACTGGTGATCCTAGAGAACTAGTAAGCATATTTGGGAAGAGAAATTAAAAGTGATATGATTGTCCCAAAGGTGTTTTTTTTTAAAGACACAACTCGACTTTTTGGTTTTTCTTTGAAGGCTCAGAAAGTCTAGTTGCCTCTTGAGAAAACAAAAAAGCACCTTTGGGACAACTACCATGACCTGGATGACTGAGAATCTCCATAGACATCAAGTGATATGACATTTGCCTGTAGCAGGCTCTTGGTTCCCTTCAAATGCATTGAATTACTTCTACAAACTCCAGGGAGTTTGGTGAGATATAGAGTTCTGGGAATTGCAGTCCCAAATTTTTGAAAGATGCTATATAACTTTAGCATCAGAACTGCACTAGAAACCAGCATTGTTTAAACTCTTAATTAAACGATGTGTGTGCTTTGAAGATTCTGAAGTAATCTATTGAAGATTATCAGCGTTCATACTTGATCTTCTTTAATATATTAGTTCAAGGTCTTCAAAGCACAGATGAAACAAGAACATACCTGAGCACCCAAAAACACCTTTAGTCAACAAGAATCACTGATAATGTGCTCTCTTTCTTTTTATATTTTTCTGAAAAGGAAACCTTACAATTTAGAAAACCAGGCCCATCATATAAAAACAGGCTGAAGTGATTCAGATACATTTGGCACATATACCTACACAAATTACTAATTTGATTTGACATATTTCACAATTTGCTCATAATGCTTAAAAAATCCCACTTGTGATTTGGTTGCAAAACAAGCTTTTACAGCATTGGTTTATTCCATTGTTTGCTCATTAAAAAAACCTTTAGAATTCTAATCAATTACATCTCGGGAAAGTATTGTTTGTTTTTACAAGATGTCAGTAGCAGCCAGATATTCTTACCTCTTTTCATTTTGCATTGTGTATTGTTCTCCATTGTGCCTCATACTATTTGCTTAATTGCAAAGGAGAGTGAAAAGCTTTCTCTCCCTGATAACATGCAACTTGGAATGCTAATAAGTACCATCAGAAAAAGAGACATAGAACCAGGTCTGGTGCTATGAATCTTCTTCAATCATCTAAGCAAGTCGAAATTATTGAGTGGTTAACAGCAAAGCAACTTGTAAGTAACTTAAGCAGATTAAGTGATTCTAATGTTTGGAATTTTGCTAATAGGTTTGAGACATTGCAGCAAAAATAATATGTAGGATAATCTGCATCCCCTTTTATCTTCTTTAAATCAGTATTTTTGGAATGTATCTATATGGGTATTGGATTCTCTAAAGAACATGCTGAAGAACTAGAT